GTAAGACTAGACTGATAGTTAATTTAAGGCTTTAAAATTCATAGGATTACCCTCTCCATCAGGCTTTCTAAAGACAAAGATAATGAGATTAACATACCTGAAAAATATACTTAGTGCTAGTACAGCAGGAGACTACTAATTCAGAAGACAACAGTGTTTAGGTACTCTATTATTTATGATCTCAATGTGCATAAAACGATAAAAGTGATTAATTTCATTTGGTGATTGGGCTAAGAAAAGGTCAAAGGAAAAGTTATTTCTACTCAAACAAAAAAGGGGCTTTTCCTGAAGCAATACTAAATTATTTTCAGGGGCCATAAAAACCAAGTATTTAATTGCTGAGTGTTTTTTTTAGTCTTTAAAAGTATTCAGCTAACTAGAGAGATACATCCCTATTCAAGGATGACATTTAAAAATTTATTTAGAATGCAACCAACTGTAGAGAACTTTAAAAAATTAAACCCCCCCACACAAATACTTTGCTAAAGATAGTGTTATCAGTATATGTTTAGGTTGGAAATAAAAGCTCAAGTTTAGGAACAATTATCAATTCTTACTATTACGTCTAAGCAGATAACAAAAATGTCCTCTTACCGTAATGCAGAGTAGACTCCCAAAGATAAGAAGGAATAGTCTGGATCATAGTACAGATAGACGGAGGACACGCAGTAGGGCAGGATATCAATTACACCGACAGCAATTATCTTCCCATCCAGCCAGTACTGCTGGTGGAAAGAACCATAGCCACATTCTGGTCCATTTGGTGCATTCTCTGCCTAAGCAAAAACAAAAGAGGGATATAGTTCTCCAATAGGTAGACTTTCAGTATAAACACAATTTTAGAAAGAATTTTAACACAAAAGTAAATACTGCAAGAAATTATTCCTGCTATGTGTCCTTAGGTAAAGGAAAAAAGGAATTTGAGAAGCAGGGAAAACCATGTTAGTTCACTGTATCGTTTGTGATCTTTGCTGTACTCATGATCAGTAAACTCTACACATCACGCACCCCAGACATGGATCTGCAAATAGGCTCTGCCATCTAGCATTTATAGTACTGGCGTGATAAAAAAACGTGATTCATCAAGTTATTAACGCTTTATTACTTGCAAAAAAATACTGCAAATACTCTTTAATTTGACCTGCTTACTCTTCAACAAGGGACGAAGCGTAAAGGCAGAGAGGTGAAACACAGATGTTTCACTACGCTGGCACTTCCCAAAGCTGGCTCGACGGCTACTTGCTCCAACACCTTGTGTCAAGGCAATGACACTACTGTTTCTCTCCCCTGTGCCCCCAAGCACTGGAAGCACTTTGGCCACAGAAATTCAGTTTCTCAGAGTGGTGTCCTGATTTCAGCCAGGATAAAGTTAATTTTCTTCACAGAAGCTGGTGTGAGGCTGTGTTTGGGATTTGGGATGAGAAATCGCTGATAACGCGCTGATGTTTTGGGTTGTTGCTGAGCAGCCAAGGACAGTCCAGCTCCTCGTGCTGGGCTGGCAGCGAGCAGGCTGGGGGTGCGCGGGGAGCTGGGAGGGGGCACGGCCGGGACAGCTGACCCGGGCTGGCCACAGGGAT